AACATTATAAACACTGTTTTTTCACTTTTTTGTAAGTGGTTACATTCCCTGTTCTCAGCTGCAAAAGAGCTAGGGGAGGAGAAACAGCAGTACACTGCATTGATCCATGCAGTGAATGGTTGCGTGGGCAGGGGTGGAGGAGAGAATTCAAGACAAGTCTGGCCATTGGAGGAGAGGAGACTGAGTGCCCAGCACAGCTAGAGAACTGACCACACTGTGCTTTCCTGCTTAGTGTGGTCAGTTTTTAACAGTAAAGCAGAGGGACTGGCAGGAACACCAGGGAATTCACACAAAGGAAGGAATACAAAGAGAACAGGATATGTTTTCATACAATTTCATGGTACAGCAGGCACATATCAGGAATATGAAATGTTGAGTTTACACACTCTTTAATCTCCTTGCTGGATTTTCATTTATGGAAGAAGACGAGATGTAGAATGAGCAGATTCAAGAAAAATAAAAAGTTGGTGAGCAATTCAGCCCATATATTTAATTCAGAGTTCCAATATCACTGACATATCAATTCTGTATAGACATTTTAAACAAGGCAGACTGATGTTAAATGTTATTTTAAATATGGAAGGCCCAGACACACAACTCCCATTGGACTGCACTGGAATGTGTTGCTCAAGCAGACCCAATGCAATGACAAGCTGAAATCCATCTTTCCCATTAGGCATATTTACACCAACACCCTGTGATGATGTGTGCTGCCAACATGCTTGTCAGTATTTAGGTCAATACACGTGAACTCAACCATGTTTAAAATGGAGCTTCAGGCTTCCCCTAAAAAATTTAAAAATTAAAAGTCAGCAGCTACATATCCTATAACTGCTGACTTTTAATATAGAGACACTTGCCTCTCCAGGGATCCAGTGATGTCCTCACCCCAGCCGATTCTTCAATCAGACTAGCAGGGAAGCCTTGTGGCTTCACAGTCGTTTCCCCACTGTGCATGAGCGAGGCGCTGCACTTTGTGAATGGTCCCACAGTCTTTTGGGACCTGTAATATGTCCCAGAAGGCAGCGGGAGAAGGAGGAGGGGCCGAACTTCCGGCTCAGATGCATCTCAGTTGCATCTGACCGGAAGTGGGGGTGGGTACCTGTCAAAACCAGGTACCTGCTCCCCCACAAAAAGTGCCAAATGTGGCAGTGTAGGGGGGGCAGGATACAAACAAGTGGAACTTCCCCTTTTGGTGAAGTTCCAGTTTAATGTGTGCTAAATGCAACCCATGTGGTGTGAATACAGCCTAGGTCCAACCAGAAAAGGAAATATCTTGTATGTGAAGCAGATGCTAAGAATCAGATGCTGTATTTTGACAAAACATTCAGCATGTGATGGATTTCTCAGAATGCTGGAAATGAATGACCTCATAGTCCTTGCACTCTGTACTCAATCTCTGCCAATGATTGAATTTAAGGCATTGCCGCAAAAAAATCTTTAAATTGTATGGCCAGTCATAGAATCAAGATAATAGCACATTTAAAGTATATATAGGACAACAGTTTTAGGGGAAGCATACTACTGCACTTTTTTTCATATCACTGTATGCAATTCAAGTGTTTTCCAGACACTGGAATGTTAAGGAGGAACCGGCTATTAGAAAGGAGTCTGTATACACACATTGCAAGAGCTTGGATCTGGATTAACATACCAAATTGATTTTGTCACCATGTACTGTTCCCCTTGTCAATTACACTTCTAGTGCATAGATCTCATGACCGAGAAAAGGAGCTCATGTTTAGTTCTTACAGTATGCAAGCCTTGTTTCTGATAAATGCTACTGTATGTATGTATGTATACGGGGAATATGATGCTGCACAGAAAGAGCCTTAATTTTCTTTGTTACATTTAACATATATAAAAATACAATGTATATAAACACACAAATAAACCAAAGAAACAAAAAAAAAAGACATGAAAAATGACTGTAAAATAGTAATAATCACCAGCCTATCATACCTATTGCTTGATATCAGATTCCATACAAGCTGTAGTTCATGGAGCTCTATTTCTGTTTGTCATAATACCCTTACCAAATAGTTCTTTTAAGGCCTCATGCACACCGCTGCTCAGAAACGTGAGTTCAAGAGCTTTTGGTGTTTTTTTTTGCAAAAGCCCCTAAACTCAACTCAATAAAAGCCTATGTGTCCATGTACACATAGATTTTTATCAGAGTTTAATAGCAGCAGAGTTTAGGGCCAGTTAAACATCCATCTCCTGAACAAAGAAGAATCGCGTTCAGGAGAGGAATGTTTTGGCCAAAAACACTAAATGTGTTACAAACGCGTCTAAATACTTCTAAACGCGCCTAAGCACTAACTGCGGTTAGCATTTGGGCGTTTATTCATTTCAAAGACAAGTACTCTGGCCAATGAAATGAATAAACGTCCAATCGCTAGATGCAGCTAAATGTGGCTAAACGCAGTACTGCATTTACACGCATTTTTGCCACGTTTAGCGTTTTTCTGCTGCCAGCAGAAAAATGTTCCAGTGTGCATGGAGCCTAAGTGTCGCCATACCTGGTTCAGTGAGTTCTCTATTTTATGAGCAGTAATTGTTCTCCAGAATTTAGGTTTCAGTGGTCTGACACTTTAACTTGGCCAGAGACTGAGTGAAATTTAGATGGTTAAAAGGGGAACGGACACATTTTGATCAGTGTATGGCTGTCCCAACTTAGCAGACGTCGATTGTTTGATCGACTTCTGTCAAATAGATGAGTTAGAAAACGTCTCAATTATTGTCTGTGGCTAGTTGGTTTCAGCCTCTGCTCAATGTATTCTGACAGCAGTGTGAGTCACTATCAGAACACAATATTCCGGGGGGGGGGGATTCCTCCATCCATTATGTTTTCATTCAACCTTTTGGCTGAACAAAAATAAAAAAATAATAGTGTACGGTCAACATGAGCATTAGGTGCTGAAGCAGATCTGAGGGTCAGTATAAGGTGGGCCATAGATGGAGCTAAATCCTTTCCTGCAACCACGATTTCCCCATCAACACAGACAGTGCTGAAAGGGGAATTCCCCCCGCTGAGCCACTGTGTTCTTCCAGCGGGGAGGCGGGGGGTGAGGGAAGCTATCCCCCTGGGAGAACACAGTGATTATTGCTAGCGGCTATAACAGGCACTAGCAATAATCGCATGGAATATCCGGCAGGCTGGTTGTACCCAGGTTGATCAATCGATCAACTTGGGTACATTCAACCTGCCCGCACATGGTTTGAATCTTGGCCGACTCCTGTTTCTTTTTTTTTTCACCTCTTTTTTATGTCAATTCTGTAGATCTCCTGTGCCTTTTTTGCTGTTATTTCATGTCTATGTACACTTGCTGGCTCCATTCCTCTAAGGAGACATCAATTCACTTCCTGCTTTTGAGATGCAACAAAATGACAGTTTTTGCCAGAGTATTTGCCCAAATTAGATGATTCGCCCTCACCTCTTGTTCTTGTGACAACTTTAAAAATTAGGATTTTCTCTATCTAGTGTCTTGTTGACAAAAGTCACCAAGAAAAATACCAGGATGAATCCCCCGAGGTGGAACAAAGACAGCAACCAAGCTGGACAGAGAGTCTAATCCTATTCTAATTTATCAAAAAGTAAACTTTTGCCTTTATCTACACTTTACCACCTCATCTGACAGAGGTGTGGGTGGCCAAGGTACTATGTCATTCTTCTCCATGGACGTGAGTATTGTGGACTCCCAGCTTCTTGAGTAGAAGCTTTTTAAAATAATCAACATTTTAAAGTGTTGCTACACCCAGGACCCTGCATTCACTATATCTGGTCTCCCACAGTACACAGAGCATGGAAGTGCAATTATTTTAGTAAATATAAACTGCTAAATACCTTTTCTCATCAGCAGTTAGAGCAGTCTTGTGACTTCTATCAGTGTTCAGCAGAGCACCGGTTAAAGCTTGTAGGAGGAGTTTTCTTTCTGCTCTAGGAAAATGCAAAACCCTTGACCTCTTTCTGGACAGTGTTGATTGGCTCTGTGCTGATCACATGCACTCTCGGAAAAAAAAAAACCTCTCGATATATCAATTCACACTAAACTGAGCATGTGCAAAATGGCTACAGGTTCAGTCTGTCTTATCAGGAGATAAGCTGTGGACATTTGAACAAGAGGAGGAGCAGAGAAGACAGGATCAAACGGCTTTTTTACACAATGCAGACGATTAACCCCTTAGGTTCCACAATGAGTATAGCAAGCATGCTTTACTGCATATACAGACAGATTTTACTGTTGTGGGTTTAGTAACACTTTAAGTTAAACTAGAAATTTCTTAAGATTACCTAAATGAGAAGCTGGAAGGGCAGTTTGTCATTTCTGTGCCAGAAGAGTTTGTTAAGTACCAATAACTGTTTTCATATGGTTAACACACTTACCCCAGCAGATGGTTAGATGACTGCTACTCCTAGTTAGGAAGCTCTTATGGTTTTTTTCTATGGCAGTGTGATAGTGCTTTTCATAAAACAAATCGTTTATATTTTTTACAAAATGCTGAGAACCTTAATATCAAACAGAACCTTTTCCAAAACTTGGAACTGCTTTTCCACATAAGTAACTCTAGCGTGTTTATTATAACAAATTGGGTGAAAGTGGTCAGCATGACACAGAGTAAGCTTGAAATGTACTGCACTGAGCCTCTGCTGCTCTTGTAAGAGCAGTGAACATACAGAATACATCTTCTTTTGCTTTGATCTCCATGAGTCCACAAATCACTGCCAAAGCTAAGGTTCACTCAAACACATTTGATTTTAAATCCAAAACCACTAAGGTTTTCAGGCACCAGCATTAACATTTAACTTCAAAGCTGTATAGGTAATGTGATGGATGTAATCTTAATTTCTTAATTAAATAGAAATGCATTAGAAGCACATTAAAAAAGCTTCAGATGGCATGGTCTTTGGAATACAAACATCTATCAAAAAAAGTATTGTATAGCTACTTACTTTATTCTACTGAAAAAGTAGAAGTCTGGCTGTGATTAAAACTCACCGTTTTGCTGACATATGAGGAGCTAGTGTTCATACAGTGCAATCCTTCGCTGTTGCAGCATCCTCCACATCTGTACAGTGCCACGCATGGAGGTTTAAAGAACGTGTTTGTCGGAGCACCAAATTCCTTCCCCACATCTACACACACTTCACGTGGCATACACTGGGTCTTTCTCCATTCGTTTTCAATACCTAAACAGGTACAAAAAATGTTTAGGTTATTTTATAATGACATATGTATATGCAGTGCTGTGCAAAAGTTTTAGGCAGGTGTACATAATGCTGTAAAGTAGGAATGCTTTCAAATATATAGTTTAATCATATATTTTTATCAATTCACAAAATGCAGAGTAAGTGAACAGAAGAAAAATCTAAATCAAATCAATTTTTAGTGTGAGTACCCTTTGGCTTCAACCCAGCATCAATTCTTACACTTGCACACTTTCAGAAAGTCAGGGATTTTGTAGGATTAGAGTCAGGTGTATGATTAACCAAATGTATCAAGCAGCTGCTAATGATCATCAACTTCATAGGTAGGTTAAAACACAATTATTATACAACACCACCTGCCTGGAGTTTGCATGTTCTCTCTGTGTCTGCATGGGTTTCCTTCGGGTACTCCGATTTCCTTCCACACTCCAAAGACATGCTGGTAGGTGAATTGGCTCCTGTCTAAATTGTCCCTAGTATGTGTATGTATGAATGTGAGTTAGGGACCTTAGATTGTACACCCCTTGAGGGTTAGGGACTGATGTTAATGCACAATATATATATAAATAAATAAATAAATAAATAAATAATTATTAAAGTGGTTCCAATGATTGAAGATTTTTTACCTTCATGCATTCTATGCATGAAGGTATAAAACCGTCTGTGTGCTGCTCCCCCCACAACCCCCTTATACTCACCTGAGCTCTCTCTTGATCCAACAACGTGCACAGGAGCCTTGGCTTTCTCGGGTTGCTCTCCCCTCATTGGCTGAGACACAGCAGTTGGAGCCATTGGCTCCCTCTGCTGTGAATCACAGCCATTGAGCCAATGAGGAGAGCATAGAGGGGTGGGGCTGAGCCGCAGTTCTATGTGTCTTATAAATGCATAGAGCAGGGCTGAGCATGCATCAGTGCCCCATAGCAAGCGGCTTGCTACTGGGAGTACTGATCAAGGGAGAGGAGCCAGAAGCACCAGTGGGGATCACAAGAAGAAGAGGATTGCACAGAGCAGGTAAGTATGACGTTTGTTATTTTTTTAAAAGAAAAAACATACCTGTAAGATCACTTTAAATTGTTACTAAACCCAGGACCCTGATTTCACTATATCTGGTCTCCCACAGCACACAGAACATGGAAGTGCAATTATTTAAGTAACTACAGGTGAAACTCGAAAAATTTGAATATTGTGCAAAAGTTCATTTATTTCAGTAATGCAACTTAAAAGGTGAAACTAATATATGAGACAGACTCATTACATGCAAAGCAAGATCGTTCAAGCCGTGATTTGTCATAATTGTGATGATTTTGGCTTACAGCTCATGAAAACCCCAAATCCATAATCTCAGAAAATTAGAATATTACATGCAATTAATAAAACAAGGATTGTACATAGAACAATATCAGACCTCTGAAAAGTATAAGCATGCATATGTACTCAGTACTTGGTTTGGGCCCCTTTTGAAGCAATTACTGCCTCAATGCGGCATGGCATGGAAGCTATCAGCTTGTGGCACTGCTGAGGTCTTATGGAAGACCAGAATGCTTCAATAGCGGCCTTCAGCTCTTCTGCATTGTTCGGTCTCATGTCTCTCATCTTTCTCTTGGCAATGCCCCATAGATTCTCTATGGGGTTCAGGTCGGGTGAGTTTGCTGGCCAATCAAGCACAGTAATCCCACAGTCATTGAACCAGGTTTTGGTGCTTTTGGCAGTGTGGGCAGGTGCCAAGTCCTGCTGGAAAATTAAGTCAGCATCCCCATAAAGCTCGTCTGAGGAAGGAAGCATGAAGTGCTCCAAAATCTCCTGGTAGACGGTTGTGTTGACCCTGGACTTAATGAAGCACAGTGGACCAACACCAGCAGATGACATGGCTCCCCAAATCAACACAGACTGTCGAAACTTCACACTGGACTTCAAGCATCTTGCAGTGTGTGCCTCTCCATTCTTCCTCCATACTCTGGGTCCTTGGTTTCCAAATGAGATGCAAAGGTTGCTCACATCAGAAAAGAGGACTTTGGACCACTGAGCAACAGACCAGGTCTGTTTTTCTTTAGCCCAGGTAAGACACTTCTGACGTATGTTGTTCAGGAGCGGCTTGACAAGAGGAATACGACATTTGAAGCCCATGTCCAGGATCCGTCTGTGTGCGGTGGCTCTTGATGCACTGACTTCAGCCTCAGTCCACTCCTTGTGAAAGTCCCCAACACTTTTGAATGGCCTTTTCCTGACAATCCTCTCCAGGCTGCGGTCATCCCTGCTGCTTGTGCACCTTTTTCTTCCACACTTTTCCCTTCCACATAACTTTCTATTAATGTGCTTTGATACAGCACTTTGGGAACATCCAACTTCTTTTGCAATTGCCTTTTGAGGCTTTCCCTCCTTATGGAGGGTGTCAATGATGGTTTTCTGCACAACTGTCAGGTCAGCAGTCTTTCCCATGATTGTGATTCCTACTGAACCAGACTGCGAGATCATTTAAAGGCTCAGGAACCCTGTGCAGGTGTTATGGCTTAATTAGCTGATTAGAATGGGACACTTTGAGCCTGGAATATCGCACCTTTTCACAATATTCTAATTTTCTGAGATTGTGGATTTGGGGTTTTCATGAGCTGTAAGCCATAATCATCACAATTATGACAAATCACGGCTTGAACTATCTTGCTTTGCATGTAATGAGTCTATCTCATATATTAGTTTCACCTTTTAAGTTTCATTACTGAAATAAATTAACTTTTCACGATATTCTAATTTTTTGAGTTTCACCTGTATAAACTGCTAAATACTTTTTCTCATAAGCAGTAGATAGCAGTCTTGTGACTTCTACCTGTGTCCAGCCCAGCTAAAGCTTGTAGGAGGAGTTTTCTTTCTGCTCTAGGAGGATGGAAATCCCCTGACCAGTTTGTTTGCTAAAAGGCTGGAGAGAGGTACAATAACGAGTGCCCACAGGCAACAGTGAAGCATGGTGGAGGTGCCTTCCAAGTTTGAGGCTGTATTATTGCAAATGGAGTTGGAGATTTGCTCAGGATCAATGGTGATCTCAATGCTGAGAAATACAGGCAAATACCTATCCATCATACCATCAGGGGGTTGTGTGATTGGCCCCAGAAATGTATTCGGCAGCAGGACAATGACCCCAAACATACAGTCATTGTCATTAAGAACTATCTTCAGCATAAAGAAAAAAAGGAGTCCTGGAAGTGATGGCTTTGTCCCCACAGAGCCCTGATCTAAACATCATCGAGTCTGTCTGGGATTACATGATTTGACAGAAGAATTTGAGGCAGCCTACAGCAGTATATATACAGCAGTATATATATATATATATATATATATATATTGGATATAAAAAGTCTACACACCCCGTTTAAAATGTCATGTTTCTGTGATGTAATAAAATGAGACAAAGATAAATCATTTCAGAACTTTTTCCGCCTTTAATGTAACCTACACACTGTACAACTCAAATGATCAACAAACTGAAATCTTTTAGATGGAGGGAAGTAAAAATAAAAAACTAAAATAATATGGTTGCATAAGTGTGTGCACACCGTTAAACTAATACTTTGAAGCACCTTTTGATTTTATTACAGCACTCAGTCTTTTTGGGTATGAGTCTATCAGCATGGCACATCTTGACTTGCCAATATTTGCCCACTCTTCCTGTGTAGACTTCTTATCTCCACTATATATATATATACATATATATATTGATACAGCTTGATAACTAATACAAACTGTGTATGTATGAAGTTTGTTTATAGCAGCCATTTCTCCAGAGGATGCTAAGGGCTCTCCCTTGAGAGTGGTAAACTAATTTCCAGCCTAATAATGCTCATATACTGTAGTTCTTGCTAAATGCCTTTGAGCAGAGCCAGCAATGTGAGCCCATCTCCTCTAGTCTTTTATGTAAGGATCCAATGATCTTTTAGCAGCCTGCAAAGTGGTTCCTCTCCGCTGATCACAAATGTCATGGGGAACTTTTTCACTGGCCACCAGTGTAAGGGAGCACTACAATTTACACTGTCTGCACTGCTTCAGTGGCTATTAGTATTATTATTTGTTTCATGATTGTTTCCGAAAATAATTGTGTTATATGGAGCAGAGAGGGATGTTTAAAAATAAATTATTCAGATTATGTATAAAGTATGCTCTCTATGATAGCCTCAACTTAAGATGTATCTAAAGCTAAAACTTTTTTTTAGATTTTGAAACAATAGGATAAGGTTTTTATTGCACTTTGTAATCCTACAAGGAAGATTCATCCTTTTTATCCTAGTGACCATTGCCACTGAAAATAAAAGTGAAAGATGAGAGAGGAGAGTAACCCCCATACTTGAGTTGCGAGGTCTTGTTTTGTACATCTTCTGGCGGCGGGGATCTTTGGACGCGGGGTGTGCACTTGCCGTGCTTAGTGGACTTCCCTGTCCCTGGCCATAGATGTAATTGTTGTTCACAGCTAGGAAAATTATAATCGAACACGTTTCATGTGTCACTCTTTAATGGTGATGTGATCATAGTTAATTGAATGGTCAAGATGCCTCTCTCTTTGGCTGTTTTTTCTGCTCATGTTTATTACTGTTATTTACCTGTGAACATAATATGTGAATGTATGTTGTTTCCTTTTCTCTTTTATGTATCTATTGTTTGATGGAGACCACTGCATTGATTCTACCATGTAGTATTTTGCTAAGTCTCTGTACACTTTTCTAAAAATTCAATAAAAATTGGAAAAGACAATAAAAGTGATAGGAATTTCAAAATAATACAGATGTTAGAACAGGAGGTGGTGGTGGGGTCTTTCAATGACAACAGTTGTTCTAATAACTCCAATTTCCTCTTTAATTTGGAGAGAGTCTTTCTCACTTCCTGTTAGCTTTCCAAAAGAGGAAGTTATGTAAAATACCTCAACAAAACACAGACAGCAAAAAAAAAAAAAATGCACAGGTGTTTTAACTATTTCCTACTCTAACCAAAAAAAAGGT